TTGTGTTCGACTTCTCTCAAACCATATTGAACTTAATTATACGAAGCCATCGTCTACTCCAAGCTTATAATCAAACACAATGAATTTCTACAGCGAGATAACAACTGTCTGTATATCGTTCAATCGTCTATTATAAGATCAAGTTAAGCATAAATGTAGTAGTAAAAATGATGAAATAGACAAAAGACAGACACATAATTAAAAAGTAATTTGTGTGATATTTTGATATAATACTTGATCAATATTAATAAGAAAAACCTTCATGATTCACTTTAACATATATGTCGTCCCGATAAAACTCATCTTTGGCGTGAAAATATCTTACGTTATCATAACATGTCGATTATTTGATTTTTCTGTTAACAAAATTAGTATTATACTCCTTTCGTTGTACTCAGTCAAATATGAGAAATAAGTACGGGATTTTCGGATTCTGTTTACGAAATCCAATATCGTCTATGACAAGAGAAGGCAAAAGAATATTCAATTACAACACTTTGCACAGAAATATTTTTCCTTTCAAACAAGACACTTGCAACTCCTATGTAATCTTTGTATCCTAAAAAAACAAATACAACATTTGAGATCCGGATCAGTCTCGGTCGCGTTTTAATCATACTCTAATTTATACATCAATAATTATATAGCCTTCGGAGCAATCTGATTTCATAGAGAAAATATTTCTTCGTTTTGTCTTGCCTCACGAGTATTCGATTCTACAACTGAAATGAGAAAGTTTGTTGCACACGTCTACTCAATATTCTTATTTTGAAATTTCTATTTTTCATATATAATGCTTAATTATAAATGTTTAAAGAACCAGATGGATTATTGTTGATATTTCAATTACAAAAACTCGTATAACTACGTACGTGTTTTGTTTTTATTATGAAATTGTTCAACAAATTTTCTATTAAAGAGTCTATTATATTTCACAAGAAATAGAAAAAGGCTGACATTAACTAATTAAATCAACGTGACATCTTTTGCTGCACTGCTCATATTATATGTCTATATCCATAAATGTTTTTTAGAATATACTTTCACGAGTTAATCTATAAATATAAAATGGCATCATCATGGTCATAAAAACTGGAAACTACGTAATTACTTTAATGTTATAAAGAAAAACTTTTACAATATTACTTTCGTTTATGTTTAATTTTCAGATATATAGAAGAAGGTAGATTTTCTATGCATGATGAATTTAAAAAGTTAATTGTCCTTCATTTCATTGTTCATCACTTTTCTTTAGCTTTTCATAATAAGAAAGTATCAACAACTATGAAGACTTCTTATCCTGAATATTATATTTAATAATTCAACAAGAGACAGTGGCTCGTAGTGATTATCAATTGAAATAATTATACAAAAATGAATGAATAATCCATCTTTTGATGAATTTTATACTAATCACTATATTTTCCTTTTAAATAATAAAACATCGAAGTTATCTGTACAATTTCAAAAATGTTACGACAGTTTTGATGTAATTTATTTTAGAAAAACTTCTTATTAGAGTTTCATAATTCTTGAAAGTGTTTATTACAACCAACATAAAGAAGAAAAAAAACTTGAAATACTATTTTGAAAAGTTGGTAGAATTATTTACGAAACAATTATATGAAATAAAATAAATTTCACTAATTATATTATTTTAAGCGTATTTGAACATGTTTATAAAGCAAAACAGCACATCTCTTGACTTTTTTTTTTCTAAAATAAATTTTTAGAATTTATTTTTATTCCAGAATAATAGCATTTATAGAAATTTCTTTCAACCAAATAAGGTGTGTTATATATGATTATATATATGTATATTGTGATATCAAAGAAGAATACATTTTTACATTTAACACGTCACAAAACATGTGTTTTTATAATTATAATAAATTTGGTTTGCCGACAAATTATTTGAATTTATTAATTATTAATACCATTATTCGAAAACAGAGTCTTTTTCATAATTAAAACAAAAAAAAAGACCCAAAATACCACACTCATATATAAATATGATTTCATCGTGCACGAGATTTTTTGCAATCTGAACTCTCGCATGAAGATACACAATCTTGTACATGGACATGTCTTCATTTTATCTGCTTCTACATATTTTGTATCATATACAAATAATATTAACAAATTCTAGAGTTGTATTGAGATATGCAAAAGTAATCTAAAATTAATCAATATGGACAGGAATACAATTAAAACTAAGAGTAAATAGAAATCGTTTTGATATGCATACATAGTACTTCTTATAAAGAAGAATAACAAGAACATCTCTAGTCAATGTACTGAGTGCAAGGTACTCGTGTACCAGATCAGCTATCAACAAGGTATATTTTCGAGTACTTTGCTGAGAATTATATCAGTACATAAGTACTCACTGAGTATTAGCCTAGGTATCTACTCAGTTTCTATATCATTCTATGAAAAACTTTTCAACAAATTAGTAGATTGAATATTTAGAAGTATTTTTTTAGTCAAGTGCAAAAAAAACCCATAAAGTGCTCTAAAGTTCCTATGACCTACTAATATCAGGATACTGCAATCAACCAAATTGTATGACTCTTTCAAGTAGGTAACCACCAATAGTATATCGACTGCCTTGTTTTCTTTGTTTTTTCTCTCCAAGTGGAAAATGAGATGACGAAGAAATGAGAAAGGAGCGACACATTGAAACAGAATAAACGGAAGAAGGAAAAACCTCACAGGTATCCTTGCCGGTATCCTGAACACACTACATTGACTTGACATATTGCAGAATTAAAAGAAAAAAAAAAATTTTTTTTGCAAGTGTAATACACTGATTTAGTTAATGAGATTCTTACATTAGCAAAATAAAAAATATATTGAAATACATTTCTTACGATAATAATTAATATTGAGAAAGTTTAGTAATAGTAGATAGAGCTAACTAAGAGCTACCGAATATAGACCGTCAAATAATGTTTAATTATTTAGAATGATGCTTTTTGGCTCTTGGTTTCAATGATGTTCTACCCAGCTAAAAGACCAGATGTAAGATTAGATGAAATCGTACTATAAATTTTTTGAAAGATCTTACCGTCTGATTATTTGATCTAGTTAGCCGAAAAACTCTGCAAATCTTCATATCATAGAAATCTTATTAATGAGTAACATTTTTTAAATTTCTCTATCATCTTCGTTCTATAAATTAAATTAGTTTAATAATGAATTTGATCAGGGGCGGATCCAGAAAAACCAGTGAGAGGATGGCGATTTGCCCAAGGGAACGGCGGTCATGATCAAATAATGGTTTTGGAACCCTTTTTGATGTCTTACCACTACTTTTTTCTTATTTCTGTTGAGGAAAAATAGAAAAAAAATTCGCCACGGGGTGGCGGTCGCCGGTTCGCCGAACAGGTAGATCCGCCACTGAATTTGATCTCACTTCAGAATAATTTTTAATTTTCATCTATTGATATCACTATCATGTTGCGCCACCTTTCTTATCTTTCACAATTGCCTACAACGAACAGTCCAATGATTTTTTTCTCTTACACACATATACAGTAAATATTAACCACTGACATATTGGTAAACGTTTCCAACGCGCTTATCTTTTAGTGGTTATTTCTAAATGCACGATGTGAGAATTTTTTTTATAATCGACGTATAAATTAAGATTTACATATATTCAGAATCAACATAATTCGAATAGAGTTTCTGCTAAATATTATTGTGACCAGTTTTAGAAAAATAAAAAGATGACGCTCTGTGCTAATTGTCTATGATGGCAGAGGTAGAATGCTATACTATCAAAGCATATGAAAACTTGTTAACTCTTAAAAAAACCTCATATATTGAGAGAAGATCTTGATGTCATATTTTTGTGAGTGTGCTTAAGGCATCTGTACTAGTCAAATCGATTGCTTTGATTTATTTGTCGAGTTTGATTATTAATGCTAAAGATGACGCGAGTTAATAACACTAGCAAAATAGAGAAAATAAAAATTGATCAAGATAAAGTTATGATATAACAATGTTGTAAGCAATGTTTAATTTTTCAGTGAAATTATCTTTTTTATTTGACTCTCTTATTAAATGACCTTGACAACTGCATCAATGGATTTCGTCTCAGAAATGACGGATGAGTCATCTGAATCCGCTAATAGTTCACGTGTTGAGTAACTTTGAGAGTGAGCGTACCAAGAAGAAAAAACATGATGTAAGTAATATATCTGCTTGCTACTTAAGGAACACATACATCTTACACTTTTCTCAGAAGACAACAAACTGTAATACGTATGTTTCTATAGAGATATTGATATATAGAGCTTAAGCCTTTAAAAACTGTAAATAGTAATAAGCATACAATTGTATGCAGATGAAAGTACACTATGACCTTGCGTACCCAATTCAAGTATAAATTGAATATAATTTTTCTCCTTCTATCTCACTCTCTGTTTATACACATAGGTTTTTTTAGCCTTATGAAAAAATTGACATGTGTAGACCTTGTTTTCGAAAAAAATATTGTAAACATATATTTTATCGTATAAATGAAGTGTAAAAAAAACCATCGTATTTTAGCTTACCATTCAAAACATTGACTATTCTCCGTTATAGAACGGAAGTACATGTGACCTAGGTAAGGTAATAATGTTTTTAAAACAGAACTTTTTTTTCTGTGCCTAACTTCAAACAAATGACCTTGAAAAAAAAAGAAAAAAATCACATATAGGTTTTCATATGCAAATAAACACAAACTATCAAACGATATACTTTATTGATCATTTTTATAAAAAGTATGATTAGATCAAATACTACATATTCCATCTGACATATTTAATTAATAATTAACAATGATACTTTTCTAAAACAAACTTCTATGTTAAAGCAGAAAATAAATTTTAGTATTTTTTTTTTCTTATATTTTGTTTCATAATCAAGACTTTTTTCTTTCTCTTTTTTTTTATAAAATTTACCATTTGAATTTTATTAATATTCTAGATTATGTTAATTTTATAAAAATGGATTGTAATAAACAAAAATCATTAACAACTAATTCCCTCAAGTCAAAAAGAAATCTCAAATCATGTTCATTATGCAAAGTCTGTGACATTGATAATGCTCAATTACATTATGGTGCATTATGCTGTGTTTCATGTAAAATGTTCTTTCGACGAAATGCTCACTTTGATCTAGTTCGTTAATGTATTGGTTTTTACTATGTTTCACTTGAAAAATAATTTTTTTTTAAAACTTTTCTAGAACAGTAGAAAATGTGTTTCTCATGGCAAATGTGATATAACAGTAAAAAGTCGAAAAACATGTCGATGTTGTCGCTTAAAAAAATGTTTTTCAGTTGGAATGCAAATCGAATTATTACGTGCTTCACATAATCGACAAGGTTCACGTAATAAACAATATATAAATGATAAAATAACTTCTTCGACTAGTGTTATTCATCCAATTGATTTACTTCAAAATGATCGATCATTATTAACTACTGAACAATGGTCTTATTTATCAAATGTAATTAATTTATTTGATTCAAAAGCTCCTGTTTCTAATATTCGTCGTTTATTAGAAGTTCAATCAACATATCCAATGAAAATGCGATTAAAAATGGCTGAAACAAATATATTAATTGTTATCAATACAATGTATCAAGCTGTTTTACCATTTGTTACAAATATATCTCATTTTGGAAGTTTATCATTAAATGATCAATCTGCTTTAATTGAAAGAAATCTAAGAAATGTTGGTGGTTATAGTGGTATTGTTATAAGTCGTGATGCAGATGTTCATTCTAGTCCAATATTTAAAACTGGTTTTCCATTGATTTATGGATCAAAAGTAATGAATGATGCAATTAAAATTTATGAAAATGCAGATAATGATGGAACATTAATTAAATTATTAATGCCTACTTTAATATTTTCAACAGCTTGTGATCTTCTTATTCCAACAGATGAAAATAATGAAAACAGTAAGTGAAAAGAAATATAATCGATTTCTTGGATTTTATCGGTTTAATTAGACACGAATCTAGTCAATTGTTCTGTTAAACACTTTTTAATTTTCTAGTTTTCTAATTAGTTAGACTTCACGAGATGATACGAATTCTAAAAGAAGTTGAATTTAGGTATGCATAGAATTTAAACATTCGAGTTCGCTCTGATATGAAAGAAATCATTTTGGTACTAATAGACGTATTCTTATTCTTATGAATATTGCTTTATTTCTTTCTTTTGCTTCGTACTGTATCTAATGTAAAAGCATTGAGATACAGATAATAGTCTATTGCCTTATATCTGCCAAGTGTTTTTCCTGAATTAGTCCATTATCGCTTATTTTAATATTGTTGAATAAATTCATTACTGAAAACGAGTCTATATTAAATATAGTCGACTCTTTATATAAAGTATTTTATTATAATTAATCATTTGATTACTATTTCAACTGGCAATCGACGTAGGGTGCGACTCTAATTCTTCTCTGTTCACATCTAAACTCCTCGACTAGGCAACATATTTAATCGTTTCTTGAACTCGAAAAGCGAACAATAAACTGAAATTTGAGCTTAATGAATGCCTAATTTGAATTAAGATATATACGTAACTTTCTTTCGTTATTATTTCTACATATAGACAAAAATAGAATAGCATGACATTGCATTATTAATTATTCTATTTCTATGAAATTTTCATAAATAAAAAAACAAAATAAATTATTGATTTCTAACTAATATTATATATATTTGTATTCGTATTGATTAATATGTAGTTTATGACAATTTTCATTTAGAATTTAATGTTTCAACAAATGAATATCGTTTAATTTCCAATGAAAAACAAATATTAGATATTCAAAATTTTTATGCTGAAATATTATTTAAATATATGATTTTTCGGTATGGTTTTAAAGAAGCAGTATTAAGATTTGCTGCACTTATCAAAACTTCTCTTGATCAAAGTATGTGTTCATTACGTGGTAGAGAAGTCCTAAAACATAAACAATTAATGCAAACAATAGTGAAACAAACTGAACAATCATTAACATTACATGATGACATAATTATAAACTAAACTACTATTGAAAATATTTTTAATAGATATTTTTAGAACAGTAATTATCTAGTTTTGTTGTTGTTATTATTTTATTGTCACTGTCTACTTTGGTTCAATTGTATCTCTATTGTCTAAATAACTTTATTGCAAAAAAAAAAAATAAAAAATGTCTTTAATTTAGTTTTCGTCCTACTATGTCATCACATTCAAATGACATCTTCTATTTCAATATATATTGTACGCTGTAGATGGAGCTTATCTTTGTCATTTTGTCTCAAAAAAAAAAAACAGATTGATATTTATTCTTATAAAAAGCAATAGAAAAACCCTTAGAAAAAATGTCAAACCCTATTAAATCATATTGCTAACTTCTAAACCAATAATACAAGTCAAATTCGAACAAAAAATAGATGAAAATGTAGTGTATTAAAAACTCTAATGATATTAACTTTCAGAATTTTTTTTCGAATCCATTCTTGATTGTTTAATTACAAAAATTTGATTCAAAAAATTTTTGCACAACTGAGCCTTTTGCAAGAATCACCTGTTTACAAAAATATCAGCCACTATCTCCAGAAATCGTGCATGAACTGAATATTTTTTTGGCATTATTTAGTCGAAATATATCTAATCGTAGAATTTCAACAGAAAAAATGATTCAAAAAAATATTTTTTATTGTTGTAAAATGATCCACACAGTGCTCTTTCCAAAACAAAAGACATGATTGATTTAGAAGTGTGTAATATGGCCTATCAGAGTTTGACATTTTTCCAAAGATTTTGCATCGCTTGGTATTTCAATAAAAAGTCATTATTATCAGCTCAAGATTTAAATGAATAAGAAATGGAATTAAGAAGATTAGTAATGAGGATTATGCCATTTATTGATAGACAGAAAAAAAAAGCTTATTATTTATTTTATCATCTTTTTGGTTTAATTATGAATGAATAGATTAATATAATTGTTTATAGCGAACAATTTAAGACGAACAAATATGCCTTGAGTACTTGTGACCGTGAAAATATACTTTATTTTATATATCATCTCGAGAAAACTATATTCGAAATTTCAGTATTCTTTAAATAGATTTTCTATTGTAGATGGGTTGAAGCTCTCAAATTAATGTTCCATTTACGAGGAAACATCCTGAGATATCTTTCTTCAATTTCAATGATTGTTTGTCTATAAATACTACATAGTGTTCTAATAAAAATTCTGAAAGAATTTGGGTTCCTATTGAGATTTGATTAAACTATCAAAATTTGATCTGAAACTTTGTGCATATACAGAACTTCACTAGACTAGCTTGTTTTAAACAATTCAGAAGTTTTGAACAAAGTTTCTTCGAAATATGAAGCTTTCATGTTGTATACACTATCTATGGAAAAGGATTTATTTATTGAAAGTCTCAGATGTCGAAGAAACTTTGTTCAAAACTAGTGAATTTTGTTACGGAAGCTAGTCTAGTTGAATTCTCTATATGCGCAAAGTTTTAGATCGAAATTCAAAAATATGAATTTTCTGAAAATCTGGAGACTCTAGAAAATAGATATTGTAAAAATTTGATAGGCTGGTCAAATCTTAATGGGAACTTAAATTCTTTTAGAACTTTTATTGAACCAGTAGATAATATCTATAGTTTTAAAAAAAATCATCGCAAATTGAACCTGAACATCTCAAGGGGTTTCCTTGCTAGTAGAAGTATTTCATTGTATAATTAGAAAATAGATAGTTACCCCAGATAATGTTTTACATATACGAAACACATTTTACGTGTGAATTATAATTTTTTTTTTAAATTTTAAATCTTTGTACATAGTCAAATCTTTTTGTAAAAATTCTGATGTACAAAGTTAGAAAATTCAATTATGAAGAAATTGTTAATTTAATTCACATTAAAACACCAGATTGTATTCTTTTTCAAAATGGAAAATATAAAAGGCAGTTATGTTTCTTGTTTTATGTCATTAATATTTTATTCTAACATAGGCAGAATCTATGAGATAATGAAATTAATAATATTTGATTTTCTTGACAATAAAAAACTATCGTGCTCTCAAGTTATCATCATTGTAACACATAATCTAAAAGGAGTATTGAAGTATAGCAATAGAAATTTGCCCCCTTCTCACTTTTCTCTACCAAGCGTGACAATATAATCGCGAGATCAAAGTTTGCTGCAGAATCAAAACAATAATTGTCTTCTACTTTTATATTACACTTATTACAATATATTGCGATTAATATCTTGTATTAGTAATAAGTAGGAATTCATAAATCGAAACATATTTTTAAAAGATCAGTAACTCCATTGTGTTGTACAATATGATTTCACAGACATTGCGCTAAAAGGTTTTTTTCTTTAAATATATTGAAAAATAGATTTGACATTGTAACTTTCGTAAAAAAATTCTTTTCTACATATAAAACATTTTTTCTTATGTACCTCGACAATCAATATTCAACCATGACAAAAAAGAAAAATAAATCCTGTTGAACTTTCGAATTCTTAACACATTAAATACATTGTAAATACCTTGACATTTGAATACCTCAGTCTGTTATATGTCATTCAGATTTGTTAGTTTGACGATGGGGTGCATAATTTGATACGAATATATTCAATATTCTTGAGTTATAATACATGACCTTGCATTGTATATAATTATGTTGTTGTTGATATATTACTTCACTATATGACCGATCGATGTGTATATGAAAAAGCAAGGCTACGATTTATTTTTATTATTAAAGGATTTCTCGATTGAAATATGTGTACATTATATTTAGGAGACGTTCAAACAACATTAAAGAAATTGAACGATTTGTTAATGTTACACAAAGAAACAATCACGAATAAAATTGTTGTTTGAGAAAAAAACAACTGCATATATTGTTAATTACTTTTTTATAGATTCAGAAACTTTCTTTTATTTGGGAATAAATTCCATCAGTTGTCATAAGCAGTAAAAAATATCGATATTTATTGCTATATGAGCCATAGGTTACAAAGTCTTTACTTTAATTGATGATAGTTTATGTTGGAAAAACATGCTTTCTTGCTCGACACTAAAGCTTCACCTGCAAAAAGCATAAATAATATATTTTATTCAAAAGTAAAATGAGATTAATCAGAAAAACTTTTCCTTGGAAAAAGAGATAAACCTATGATATAAAAACAATTCATATAATTTTTTTGTACTTTCATAAATGCAATCATCTATTGATATGCCGAATCTTTAATATTACAGATAATACTCTCTGACACTATCATATTATATATTACTAGGTCACACTACCACATACACACTTTATCAGTTTTCAGGATTTCATAGTATAAATTTGTTTGTCTTTGATATACAATTTATTGTTGATGTCATTTCCAGATGAAAGCCTATCCTGTGAGAAAAGAAAAAAACATGTTTTTAACCATACAACTCAGTTGATATAATCACCAGTCATTTTCAATTAAAAGTAAACATATTTCTACCATATCCTCTGATATATCTCAGTAATTTGATAACACACACTTGGTCGATCTCATCTACTGACATATTTTCCACAGCCAGTCTTCAATCCGAGTCTATAAAATATTTCATCGGCTTCAATTTATTGTCCAACTAGCGGAGGTACCCGATGTTAGTCGAGATAATTTAGTAATATATACTTGACATATTAGAAAACAATATCGTTATGATCTCCTATCAATTTTTGGAAT